AAGCTCAAACCCTCTGTAGAACGCCAATTCTTACAAAGTCCTAGATCACCTTCAGCTAGTTTTGGGGAGACAGTGAAGTCTGACTTTGAGGCACTAACCTTACGTACTTGCTTACATCATTTTCATTAACCCGTTGTGCATTTCATCACCTGTAAAAGTGTAAATGCTAAACTAAAGAGTTACAGTCTTCAAGGGCTAGACTCTTAAAACTAATTCACAACCATCATAACATTCAAAACTACAGGTCTGGAAAGAGACCTTACCACCAACATGGTTGTTTGCCAGTAAGAGACTCGCGTTATCTACTGGCCATTTCTGACCTACTGCCAGTTAAAAAGGACCGGAAACGACATCAGATTTTAAATTGACTATTGAAAAGCTAGACTTTCAAAGACTTGAGCATTTCAAAAAATCTAAAGATGTATGGGAATGTGTATGTGAATGTGATGTACCGAGGGGACCACCGGAGGATGCCTTGAAGTACAGCTGACATAATTCTACTAACTGATAGCTGGGAAATTCCTGATCGGTCACCGATTTCTTTTTGAAATGTCCCTGTAGCCAGGAACCCAACCCAAGAGCACCTGCACCTCCACAGGTATGGCCCGGTTGCGGTTGGTGCGTCTCTCTAAATTAGGGCTTATCTGGGCACAAAGCTGCAAGACTATATGTTACGTTATGTGTTTTCTTTGTTGTATTTTGTAATTGTTTCTATGTTCTTCCTATTCTCTTTGTGTCTTTTGAGTTATTTGATTGTCGGTGATTTGACAATCTTTGTGCCCCCTGTCAGCGGTTATTGGACGCTCAGCTGGCGGTCCATTTAAAACGCCTCTTCCGCTATCCAGAAGTGAGCTGGTGCGACTTCAGGCCAATCGCGCTGTTCCAGACTCTCCGTCAGCCGCCAGACCAAAAAACTCTGTTAGTGTTTCTTGAAGTTGTTTCATACTTATGTGGTCAACGTAGGAGAGAACTGCCCTTTTGTTTGAATTTGTTCTCTCAGTTTTTGTTAAGAGTAGTTAGGTAAGGTTCTTTGTACTTTTATTTCATTTATTTATCTTGTTAGGTTAATTATATTGATTTATTTGTTTTGGACCTTGGGGTTCTCTGAAGCCCAGTGCCACTCAATGACTGTTGTTCCTCATCTCTTAAATTAATTTAAACCATCAATTTATGGTGTTTTCATTTGTTTCATTTTTGGGTAATATTCAGTACGATTATCAAAGCATAAATCCAGCAAATCGCTTCCATCAACACCTCCAAAGCTTGCACAGACATATACCACGTCCTGGATCACCATTTTACTCCGTAACATTATGCAGTTTTCATTTATATGCTGTCTATTGCTGATCACAAATAATAAGCACTGTCTCAGATCAAGCCGTTCACAGATTCTTGGCAGAGTGTCGTCACACAGTCCAAGGCCCCTGAAGTTTAAGCACAGACCCGCCCTGAGTGAGCTGTCAGCAGTCCACCATTGTTTCGACGTGGGAACAGGGGTTCTTCTCAATATCCCTCCTCGTTTCCTTGCTCCTCCGTCCTCCATCCTATGACCCGGAAACCGATCGACCTCAGCCATCTTGTAGGACATCTCAATTCTCTAAATGCACCGCGAGGATCGAGGAGGCTTTCTGAGGAGTCGTGAGCGAGGATACACAGGTATATCCTTCGAGGAAGTGTTTTATCGACTAAACGTGGCGATTCTCCTCCCCCTTCACATCTGCACCAAGTGCTAACCATGGCAAAAAATTCAAACACATAAATATGAGCATGAAGTTATTGTAAATGTGGGTTAAGTTTTGACAGTACCTTTAATTTTGAAGTATAACGTGTACTTTTCAGCACAGTTTTAATAACGCTAATCATTCGTGATCCAGCCTCACCTACAGAAGAAGTGAGTATAAGTTTTTTTTTTTTTTTTAATGAATCTTTGCAAATCACCTTTCCTAATAATGTGCTAGTTAGCAAGTTCCATGACGAGTGTGGCTAAAGTTAATTCTCTTCACTCACACAAAACGGACGTGCTCTCACTCGGTCAGACAATAGGCCATTCAGTTTTTGTTGAATTTTGATTTGTTCGATCACGATTCGATGTCAATTGATATAAAAAAAAAGATGCTAATTATTAACATTTAAATTTCACATTTAAAAAAAACTAGTGTTTAATCATGACTAAATATTTATTCAAATGCAAAACTTAAAAAGAAGTAATCAGGTATGACCTGCAATGCTCTTTTGAGAAAATAGACTAGTAGACACGTATATTTATTAAAGAGCCATACAGGTACCTAGTGGGTAAACAATGACATTACAAATGAAAATTATTTTTTTTCTAACACAAATAACTAATTTGCCATTGTGCTTTCCAGTATCTATCTATCTATTTCTATCTATCTATCTATCTATCTATCTGTGTCTGTATCTATCAATCATCTATCCATCTATCTATCTATCTATCTATCTATCATCTGACTATTTCTATCTATCTATCTTCTGACTATTTCTATCTATCTATCTGTCTATCTGTGTCTGTCTATCTATCTATCTATCTATCATCTGACTATTTCTATCTATCTATCTATCTATCTATCTGTTTCTGTCTATCTATCTGTGTCTGTCTATCTATCTTCTGACTATTTCTATCTATCTATCTATGTCTATCTATCTATCATCTGACTATTTCTATCTATCTATGTCTATCTGTGTCTGTCTATATATCTATCTATCTATCTATCATCTGACTATTTATATCTGTCTATTTATCTATCTATCTAGCTATCTGTGTCTATCTGTGTCTGTCTATCTATCTGTGTCTGTCTATCTTCTGACTATTTCTATCTGTCTATCTATCTATCTACGTCTGTCTATCTATCTATCATCTGACTATTTCTATCTATCTATCTATCTATCTATCTATCTATCTATCTATCTATCTATCTATCTATCTATCTATCTATCTATCTATCTATCTATCTATCTATCTATCTATCTATCTATCTATCTATCTATCTATCTATCTATCTATCTATCTATCTATCTATCTATCTATCTATCTATCTATCTATCTATCTATCTATCTATCTATCTATCTATCTATCTATCTATCTATCTATCTATCTATCTATCTATCTATCTATCTATCTATCTATCTATCTATCTATCTATCTATCTATCTATCTATCTATCTATCTATCTATCTATCTATCTATCTATCTATCTATCTATCTATCTATCTATCTATCTATCTATCTATCTATCTATCTATCTATCTATCTATCTATCTATCTATCTATCTATCTATCTATCTATCTATCTATCTATCTATCTATCTATCTATCTATCTATCTATCTATCTATCTATCTATCTATCTATCTATCTATCTATCTATCTATCTATCTATCTATCTATCTATCTATCTATCTATCTATCTATCTATCTATCTATCTATCTATCTATCTATCTATCTATCTATCTATCTATCTATCTATCTATCTATCTATCTATCTATCTATCTATCTATCTATCTATCTATCTATCTATCTATCTATCTATCTATCTATCTATCTATCTATCTATCTATCTATCTATCTATCTATCTATCTATCTATCTATCTATCTATCTATCTATCTATCTATCTATCTATCTATCTATCTATCTATCTATCTATCTATCTATCTATCTATCTATCTATCTATCTATCTATCTATCTATCTATCTATCTATCTATCTATCTATCTATCTATCTATCTATCTATCTATCTATCTATCTATCTATCTATCTATCTATCTATCTATCTATCTATCTATCTATCTATCTATCTATCTATCTATCTATCTATCTATCTATCTATCTATCTATCTATCTATCTATCTATCTATCTATCTATCTATCTATCTATCTATCTATCTATCTATCTATCTATCTATCTATCTATCTATCTATCTATCTATCTATCTATCTATCTATCTATCTATCTATCTATCTATCTATCTATCTATCTATCTATCTATCTATCTATCTATCTATCTATCTATCTATCTATCTATCTATCTATCTATCTATCTATCTATCTATCTATCTATCTATCTATCTATCTATCTATCTATCTATCTATCTATCTATCTATCTATCTATCTATCTATCTATCTATCTATCTATCTATCTATCTATCTATCTATCTATCTATCGTCTGTCTGTCTGTCTGTCTGTCTATCTAGCTATCTATCGTCTGTCTGTCTGTCTATCTATCTATCTAGCTATCTATCGTCTGTCTGTCTGTCTATCTGTATTGCCTTCAAACCTTCAAGGCAAGTTTTAAAACTACTTTGAATTTTAAACGACTTTAAACTAAAAAAAGCTAAGTGAGACTTCTCTAAGACGTGAAATGATCAGACTTGACATGAGCAGAATGGTGTCTCTAGACACGTTTTAAACCTTTCAAAATACAAAAAGCACTGAAATGGTGAAACACCCATCTAAAGCACTTCCACGTGGGAATACAACTAAAAAACAGCACAGACACAAAACACTTTAAGTTTTTCATTCAGTCAAACTCTTTTAAACCCACCATCAATGTAATGCTTTATAGTCAAGGCACTTTAATGTTTTAACCAAATAAGTTTTAATTTGATTGATTTTTTGCCCTTATTTTCTGGGGAGAATCTGAGATGGGATTTTAGAGAAATTCAGTTTTGAATAAATAAAATAGATCACTTTTAAATCTGATTTACAAATTCTTAAATATTTAGAGCTCTTTCCAATCCTGGCTGTAATATGAATGATAACTTCATCCTGGATTAAAACAATGTCACAAATGCTTTGCAGTTGATATTATGAACTGTGAGCACATCACACTTACGTTTAGAGAGAAACTAGAAGCTTTTGAAAAAAGCTCATTGGTATTGATAGCTTTGGGAATCTGCTATCCTTTTTTTTTTTCTCGTTTGTGAATTGGTATGGTTCTTGAAGACTTTTATTTTGGTCTGGCGACGTGACGTCATAAGGCTGCGCCGCTCTCCTGCGTCTGTGGTCCGAGGAAAGGTTTGTGTTTTCTTTCTTTCATTTAAAGCATTTCAATCATTTACAAGCCGTAGCGAACTATGAAATGCATTAACCGTTGTTTATGTTAACATCGTAATGCTTTCATATTAAAGAGCGTTATCTTGTGTAAGTTAAGCGCATCCACAGACGATTAACGTCTCGTTTCGCTCGCTATAAATCGCGAATCAGTTTAGTAAACACGAGTTCCGTCTCTGGCTAGTAGTGATGGAGAAACGGAGCTTTTTAAAAACCAAACTGAACCCATTTCGCCGCAAAATGGTTCTGTTTCTAATAGCTCGACGCCGGCTAGTCAAAACAGGCTAAAGGCTACGACAACAACAAACTGACAAGTTTTACAATTGCAAAAACGCAAATGTTTTTGATGAAAGCGGAATATATTGTCATGAAATAACATTTAAACTTTGTATATAAATTGTGTTCTTTAAATTGTAGTGCTAGTTTTGAGCCTGTTTGCTTGTTTTTAGTCATCACTCTGATTGAGACGCACGCAGAAGATTTAGTGTGCATTTATTTTTCTTTGTTAATTATTCTCCTCTTAATCATGACAGAGTGTCCAAACACACAGAAACATGGCGGTTATTAAAGAGGAGACTGAAGACTTCAGGATTGAAGAAGTGTTTAGTCTCAAACCAGAAGATTTCGAGGAACTAACAGGTTGGTTTTCATTCTCAATGCGTTTGATTCTTATTGAAATGTTGGCATGAGTTTGTTATGATTGGATTGACTCTAAAGTCTAGTAGTGTGTGATCCTCAGTCTGAAACGACTGGTGTGTAGTCCAGCTATTACTTCTGTGATGTAGCTGTCACCGTATAATAACACATCTGCTTTACTGTATAATGCATCAGCTGCTACTTTGGCTTGCCATCAAACAAAGCTAGATATAATAAGGAGAGGAAGAGGCCTTCAAATTCATCACTAGAGTGAGAAAGATCTGTTTTCTTGACTGGGAGGAAAAGCTTCATTACATGAACATCCGAATAAAAGAGGAACTGAGGAATCTGGTTAAAATGTTGTGTTCTCACCGTTTTGCTAATGACTGCTTTTTGGACCATGTAGTTTGGTATGTTGACATACAGTTTTTACTGTGACGTGTTAGAGAGTTATAAAAGCAATAAGCCCCGTGAAGCCGTGGTTTACAGTGAATTTATAACAGCTAAGGGGCGTTGTTAAAACCCCCTTTCACTGTTTCACTGTAAACCACGGCTTCACGGGGCTTATTGCTTTTATAAAACGGTTATTCCATATACGTAGTAAGGTTTCACAGAATAAAACAGAGCAAATAAAGTGTAATGATATTAATAAAAACAGTATTCTTCCACCAAACAATGTAGCTCCTCAGAATCAGTTGTGGTTGCTACAAAGTGGTTGCCGAGCAACACACAAACGTAAATAAAGGTGTTTGTTTGTAGAGTAATTTACAACAGCTTCGAACACGGCTCAGCCAATCAGAATCAAGAACTATCCGTTTTGTAAATAACAATTACCACCTGTGAAACAATTTGCTCAAGCTGTGCATGCAAAGGTGATTCAGCTCAATCCGTGCGTTCTTCTTGACTCCCATTTCTGGACTCTGACACCATAGTTAAGCGGTTACAGTAGTGTTTATAGACCTGACACTTGCCAGTTCTGATAAGGGTATTACATGTCCGACACAAGCACTGAGCGGCTGACCAATCACAACAGAGTCGGAATCAGAGCAGATTGGGCTTTTTTAAAATGCCTGGTTTTCAGGGTGATGGACAATGTAAATTACATGTTTGTTTTTTATTTACATTAAAGCTTGTAAATCTATTTTAGTAGATCCCTTAACAAAATCATAAACCTGTAAGTGAGCATAACAGGTCCACTTTAAGACCAACAACGTAAACGTGAGGAACAAACTCTCTATGGATCTTTAGTAACAGGTGGCTTTTTACAGCGTGACTAGGGTTGCTAACTGTCCTGTATTAGCCGGGACGTCCCGTATACTGGGCTTAATTTATGTGTCCCATTAATGATCTTCCTTGTCCCGTTAACGCCAATTTTGACTTCAGTGCCCGCACTGTTAGAAACAGGTGATTCTGTGCCCCACACTTTTTGACCCACCGCCAATATTTCAAGATTTTACATTTAACATTATAAATAACTGAATAATTGTTAATGAAGAATTACAAAGTTATATAGAATTATTAAGTTATAAGTAAAATATGACGACGATATAAGTAAGATATTTGGGGTTTAAAACAACATATTGTGATGCAAACTTGATTTCAAAGATTAGGGTGAATTCAGGTTGATTGGGACACTTTTCCCCAAATCCTTTCGATTACAAAAAGTGTCCTAATCGTTTGATTTTGTAAACTATCCGATGCACACAATAATAAAATATAGTTGTATTATCTCAAACTGACTGTCAAAGTGCAAAACTGCTACAAACATAACATCAATGCAAGAAGAAAATGTATGCAACTTAAACTGGATACGGAGGAGTCGTAAAATAAGCAGGTTAAACTCACAGCTCATGCGGTATTTACTGACTGTGAATGGAGACACTCTGAGAGATAAGCGATTTTATTTTCTATTCGATTAGTGTTCATTACAAAACTGTGGGGCACAGATTATATTATGACCGTTCATCATTGTAAAATAGACATTTGATCTAGAGTGCAATAAAGCAGAAAAATTAATCAGTTTAAAAAGGCTATTATTCACCTCCTGTATGTTATTTAAGTCTTCGACGTAGACTGCATTTTAATCTTTGTTTTGCGTAAATTACAGTTGATTCATGTGAAATATGAAATCAAGTTGTGTGCGTTCGCTCGAATTGATTTGCTGAAATCCAAACAGGGACGATAATAGGTGAGCGCCAGCCAATGAGATTGCCGTTTGCGCATTAGTTCCGCCCACTAACGGAAAACCCGGCAGTTCTTAAAAGCTGAAAAATTCCAAAGGAACTCAATAATACAAAATACAACAAAGAATATCGTTTACATGTAGCGCATCAATTCTGCATGGTAATGCAAGACTCTCTCGCTCTTTCTCTCTTTGCGTGTGTGTGAGACAAAGTGACGGCGAGTTGTGCGCCTTTACACTAGAGTTTACGGTACGTCAAAATCATCAGACGATCTCTTGTCGGTGGAAAGACTGTAAAGCCGCGCGATGCGTGAGATCACAACAGATGGCGGTAATGATGAACTTAAGTTTGTGATCTAGTCAGAAGAAGACGCTGCGCTGCTTCAATGCATTACAGGCTCGTGACTCATCAGAACGCAAAACAGAATGTAGCTTTTGGTCGCGCTACACCGCTACTTGCTGGAAAAAGTAGTTAGCTACTGGAAAAGCTACACTGTTTTAAAAGTAGCGGAGCTACTGTCACACTACTGAAAAATGTAGTTACGCTAGTAGCGTCGCAACTTGTAGCTAGCTACTCCCCAACACTGCTGATTATTGGGTTCTGCTGTCGTCACGTCGTGCTGCTTGCGTCCGGAGTAGAATTATCCTATCCCAATAAAGCAAAGTTGTTTTGCGCTGAATACTTATCTTACCTTATCATACTTTATCATATTTTAGTACTTTAATTCATTACCACTATGTCCCAAAGTCCAGAATAAGTTCCTTAGTTTTGTCTATGTTAAGAAGATCATTAAGGGTGTCCCTTGAGCCCGTTATTATTTGCTTTAGCCATGGAGCCCTTGGCGGTTAGTATAAGAGAAGATACAAGCATCAAAGGTGTTATTTTAAAGGATCGGCAGCATAACATTTCTTTATATGCTGATGATGTTTTGTTTTATTTAGAGTCTCCTAAACAATCTATTCCAAAACTGGTAAAATTGATTGATTATGGTTCCTTTTCCGGCTACAAGATGGATTTTTCTAAGAGTGAAGCCATGCCCCTCAATAGTTCGCACCGATTGGACCCAAGTATATCGTATCCGTTTCGTTGGTCCCCTACAGGGTTCTTTTACTTGGGTTTAAAAATCTCCTCTAGAATAGCAGACTTATTCAATTTAAATGTTGTACCTCTATTATAATCAGTGAAACACAATCTTGAGGTATGGTGCGGCCTGCCCCTATCTTTACTAGGTCGCATTCATCTCATTAAGATGCATATTCTTCCGTGCTATCTTTACTTATTTCAAATGCACCCTATTAAAATTACGAAAAAAGTCCTAGCTAAATTAAATAGTTCAATAATTTCATTTATCTGGGCTAAAAAGAAACCTAGACTACGTTACAGTTTTCTATGTCTTCCTGTTAAAGCCGGGGGGTTAGCAGCACCATCTTTTTATTTTATTTGTGGGCTGCTCAGTCTAGATTTCTGTTAGAATGGTTTGTAAATAACCCAGACTCCGCTTGGGTTGAGTGTGAATCTGTGTCCCTGAATGGGATTCCTCTGCATAATGTCCCCTGCAAAAGTTTCTGCTTTGGTCAAAGGTAATATTATTTTAAGGGTCATGTAACCCCCTGTTTCAGCACTGGTTAGTTCTCACCACAGTTTTAGTGGAGTGGGAAGAGGGGAGACAGACAACACGCACAGCTTCGCGTTCAGACAGTTTCATTTCGCTCCCATTGAGTTAAAAACACAAATAAATGCATAGCCATTTGCACTCTGCATCGAAAACATATATATGAATGTGCTGTTGCACCTCTGAGAACTTTTAAGGCCTATTCTGCGGCGTTTATATAAGCCTTTTGACGGGTTGTGTGACAGAGCTGCAAAAACGGTTATGCTCACCAAGTGAATGAATCTCGTTTCATTCACTAAGAAGTTTCATCAAAAACTAACAATAATACTGATAAGATAATAATAGTAATACTTAGAATTCTTCTAATAAGAACAATATAAAATGCACTAAGGATTAACGAGCTGCTGAATTCATGAATATTCTGTCAAACATAAAGGCAAAAATAAATCTAAAAAAAGTGTAAATAAGGTTAGAAAGCATGAAGCTCGCTGTGTCAGAATGCCATTCTTTTAGTCAAGTCTGAAGCAAGATGCAACCCATAGTAATGCTTTATGACAACAATGTCTCAAGATACTCTGATGGCAGATAAATGTAAACCGTATATAACTGACTTGAGTGATTTGTTACAAAAGTGTGCATCAAATATGCTAAACATGGAAGCTAGAATGTGTGTGACGTGCTAGAACAGACCTCACTAGTTTTTGAGTCCGTTTTCTTTTAATAGCAATTAATAAACGTGACATCTGGTGTAAAATAAAGGATCCGGTTTAGGCTGGCCAATACAATCAGTAACAAAATGCTGAAACAATGTTTAAAAAAGGTTCTGAGATTACATGCTACACCACTTTCAGTAGCTTAGTGTGTATAAGGATGTATAACTCATGTTGTTGGTTATGTTTTACTTGTTGCCCAGAGTGAAGATTTAGTCGCATATGCAAATGATTTACTCGCAATGTAGAGGGTTGGTGTTTGGTCTTGGAGTCTCTACTACTGAGCCGATGAGTTGGATCAGGTGTGTTTGATTAAAGGCAGGGTAGGTTATTTGATTCGAAAACTATTTTTTTTGTTATGCTGGTAGAAAGTCTCTTCACATCCCAATGGCTATCACTAAGTTAAAAACATAGTACACCCAAAAATGAAAATTACCCCATGATTTACTAACCCTCAAGCCATTCTAGGTGTATATGATTTTCTTCTTTTAGACTATTACAAAAAAAAAATAACGTGATTTTACCAGTAAAAATCAATGTCCTGTCAAACATAAAGGCAAAAATAAATCTAAAAAGAGTGGAAATAAGGTTAGAAAGCATGAAGTTCGCTGTGTCAGAATGCCATTCTTTTAGTCAAGTCTGAAACAAGATGCAACCCATAGTAACGCTTTATGACAACAACGTCTCAGATACTCTGATGGCAGATAAATGTAAACAGTATATAACTGACTTGAGTGATTTGTTACAAAAGTGTGCATCAAATATGTTAAACATGGAAGCTAGTTTAAAAAAGGTTCTGAGATTACATGCTACACCACTTTCAGTAGCTTAGTGTGTATAAGGATGTATAACTCATGTTGTTGGTTATGTTTTACTTGTTTAAAATGTTTTTGATGTCTGTTTTTTTTTGCCTTAGACCTGACAGCATTTAAAGAGGAGAAAGAAGTACTGAATGAAATGGAAGAGAAAGATCAGTATGAGAGCCATCATGATTTCATAATTGAAGAAAACTCTTTTAATTGCTCACAGACTAAAAAGACTTCCTCACGAAAAAGAGTTCAAGCGATAGGAACTAGAAGTTGTTTAACCTGCTTTCAGTGTGGAAAGCTTTTCACTCAAAAAGGAAGCCTTAACAGGCACATGAGAATTCACACTGGAGAGAAGCCTTACACATGTCCTCAGTGTGGAAAGTGTTTCGATCAGCATGGAAATCTTAAAGTCCACATGAGAAGTCACACTGGAGAGAAACTCTACAAGTGCCTGCCGTGTGGAAAAAGTTTTGATCAACATGACTCAAAAAGGAAGCATTAACAGGAACATGAGAATTCACTCTGGAGAGAAGCCTTACACATGCCCTCAGTGTGGAAAGTGTTTCGATCAGCATGGAAATCTTAAAGTCCACATGAGAAGTCACACTGGAGAGAAACTCTACAAGTGCCTGCCGTGTGGAAAAAGTTTTGATCAACATGGAAACTTTAAAATCCACATGAAAATTCATACAGGAGAAAGCCTTTTTACCTGTCAACAGTGTGGAGTAAGTTTCAGAAAGAAATGGATTCTCAAAAGGCACATGAGAATTCACACTGGAGAGAAGCTTTACACATGCCATCAGTGTGGAAAGAGTTTCGATCAAAATGAAAACTTTAAAATCCACTTGAGAATTCACATAGGAGAAAACCCTCTCGCCTGCCAACAGTGTGGAGTAAGTTTCAGAAAGAAATGGATTCTCATCAGACACATGAGAATTCACACTGGAGAGAAGCCTTACACATGCCCTCAGTGTGGAAAGAGTTTTAATCAACATGGAAATCTTAAACTCCACATGAGTATTCATACAGGAGAAAGGCCTTTTACCTGTCAACAGTGTGGAAAACGTTTCAAACGAAAAGGAAACCTTAAGTACCACATGACAATTCACACTGGAGAAAGCCCTTTTACCAGCCAACAGTGTGGAGTAAGTTTCACTCAAAAAGGGATTCTCAATAGGGACATGAAAATTAACTGAAGAAAAATCTTTCAATTGCTCACAGACTAAAAAGGCTTCCTCACAAAAAAGAGTTAAAAAAGCGATAGGAACTAGAAGTTGTTTAACCTGCTTTCAGTGTGGAAAGCTTTTCACTCAAAAAGGAAGCCTTAACAGGCACATGAGAATTCACACTGGAGAGAAGCCTTACACATGTCCTCAGTGTGGAAAGTGTTTCGATCAGCATGGAAATCTTAAAGTCCACATGAGAAGTCACACTGGAGAAAAACTCTACAAGTGCCTGCAGTGTGGAAAAAGTTTTGATCAACATGGAAACTTTAAAATCCACGTGAAAATTCATACAGGAGAAAGGCTTTTTACCTGTCAACAGTGTGGAGTAAGTTTCAGAAAGAAATGGATTCTCAAAAGGCACATGAGAATTCACACTGGAGAGAAGCTTTACACATGCCATCAGTGTGGAAAGAGTTTCGATCAAAATGAAAACTTTAAAATCCACTTGAGAATTCACATAGGAGAAAACCCTCTCGCCTGCCAACAGTGTGGAGTAAGTTTCAGAAAGAAATGGATTCTCAAAAGGCACATGAGAATTCACAGTGGAGAGAAGCCTTTCACCTGCAAACAGTGTGGAAAGACTTTCAGTCAACCTGGAAACCTTAATTACCACATGAGAGTTCACACTGGAGAGAAGCCTTT